AAATGTTTTTTGTTTTTACAAAATCACCAACTTTTAAATCAGCATTGCACCAAAGAGTGTTGATCTGGGAAGCAATTTTTTAAAGATCTTTTTATTCACCTTTCTTACATAGTAGTAATGGCAGTATTTATATAATGAACAAAATGCTCCAATTTTTAAAATGCTAGAATTGCTAAAGAAAGAATATACCGTATCTATGCTTTTTCTACACATAGCTGTAAGAATGAAAAAAAATAGTGTTAAATACATTGTAATACTTTCTTGGAATGTCTAATTTACTGCCATCAGTATCTTTTAATGAAAAGTTTTCTTTTGACTTCCAGTATTCAGAAGATATGAAGCACAAGACCACTCTTCTGGAGCTTCAAAAAATGTTTACATATTTAATGGTATGTTTGAGAATTGTGTACAGAAAACTATTTAGAATATACCATTTTGACAAAGCTGAAAACATTAAATGGAGTTCATTTGTATTGGCTTTGTCCTGAATGGTTACTCTTAATTGATCAGTTACTGGTATTTTTTGTTACAATAACTTCTAACAGCTATCAATCTACATCCTGTTATTTGTCCTTTGAAGAATCTCTTGTATCTGATCCTTTTCCTGTCACAGGGTCACCCTCCTTAGGGTTAGAGTTTTCTGACTGATTTCTCTTTGTCTTTCTTAATCCCCACTCCCAAAACTATAAAAATAATCCATTTTTTAAAATAGCAAATATTACTTCCCTGTTCTTTAAACTCTTCAGTGGTTCTTTATTATGAATAGACTAGTATTCAGATTCATTAACATTGTACCTATTCTCTGTGATATTTGCTCCCTCCCTTCAGCTTCCTCCCCATATTCAGCCTCACCTTATAGTAACTATAAGCCTTTTGAAGCCCATCACCCTGTTGCTTCATCACTTGTGCAGTTATTTATACCACTTCTTCCTGTAGCGCTTTTCTCTCAGCACTCTTCTCTTCCTTTGTCATCCTTCAAGAATCAAGATGGTTTTCACCTCTTAAGAGACTAAAGATTCCGTAGTGTCTTCAAGTCACCATAAATAAATCTATCATGGTTACTATTTGTATTTGACAGTTACTTGTCTCACCTGTTAGAATCTTGGGGACAGAGATTATATCACATTTATTACTGTATTTTTTTTAGCTTCTCATTCTTAATAAGGATGCAGTAAGTGAGATTTTAAACAAAATAGTCATTCCTTCATTCTACTTTTAATCTCCATTTTACAGAGTTGAAACTTCATCTGAACTGACAAAACAGAAAACTGTAGGAAAACATATTCAGCCTGCAAAGATTTTATATTTTATGCTTCACAATACTAATCCATGTTCTTTGAATCTCAAAATTCTCCCTAGAAATTCCTAGATTTAAAAAACACAAGTTTTTAAATTTAAGATAATATGAGCATCTTTGGCACCAAGACTATTAAACTGAAAAATGCGTGGATATCAAACAAAAATGAGGGAAAAAAGGCATTTAAACCTTGGTAGATTTATTACCTGTTTTGGTGTTTATTCATGAAACTTGCGATAATTTACTTATTTTTATTTAAGACTTAGATTTGTTTGATTGTTTTTTATTCCTTTTTTCCATACTCACCCCCACTTTTCCTTTACAGGAGAGTGAATGCAAAGCATATAATCCTAGGCCCTTCTGTAAAACATATACCATGGATAAGCAGCCTCTGAATACTGGCGAGCAGAAAGATATGACAGAGTTTTTTACTGATCTGATTACCAAAATTGAAGAAATGTCTCCAGAACTGGTTAGTACCAGAATACTGAAGTTTCTTTGAAATTTGTACAGATTCTCTCAACTTTACTGACTTTTGTTTGTAATTTTTTTTATAGAAAAATACTGTCAAAAGTTTGTTTGGAGGTGTAATTACAAACAATGTTGTATCCTTGGTAAGTATTCTACCTGTTCTTTGCTTTTTGGAAATCTTAATATATATTTTAGTTTATTCTGATTAATTAACCAATTTTTGACTGTTGGTTGGCCAGGATTGTGAACACGTTAGTCAGACTGCTGAAGAGTTTTACACTGTGAGATGCCAAGTGGCTGATATGAAGAATATTTATGTGAGTGATATATATTTTTAGACTTTTTTCCTGCTTTTAACTATTTGTATGTAGCAGATTTGTTTGTCATCTTGAGAGAAAATTAAGTTTCATATTTTCATCTATTTTCTTCATTCTTTACTTCTCAAATAAGAATTAAAGGTAGACCACAAAGCTAATTTTTCCTGATCAAAATTTAAATACTTCGCTTTTGAAAATTTTAGTAAGAGTCATAGAGCATTTTGTCAATAGGAGGGGAAAACTGATTTTTTACTGAAATTAAAATTTTACTTTTTAAAAAAAATTTGTTTTCCTCTATGCATTCTATCTTAATTGTAATTAGTGATTTTTTTTTATTTTTGCATGCTGTAAACAATAATATGAAACTTAAATGTGGCTTTCTACACAGGAATCTCTCGATGAAGTTACTATTAAAGATACTTTAGAAGGTGACAACATGTATACTTGTTCTCATTGTGGGAAGAAAGTACGAGCTGAAAAAAGGTATGTTTTTGAAATGCAGCTTTTATCATTTGATAAATTATCAAATGGACGTAAAACACAAACCTATATAAATTAATATTAAACTTTTATGAACATTATCTGATTAAGGTTGAGGTTGCCTGCTTGGAGCTTATATTCATTCAGTAACTTTTCCCTCAATTATTGAAGTATACTTTCAAACACTCAAAATTTTTTCAAATTTTTTGTCTCTAATTATATATTTAGCAAGGCTTGTCTGATAGCTTAGCTCTCTGCTCTGTACTCAGTGGAGCATAATAGTCTATTCATGAACTGAAAGCATCCTTCTCTAAATTTGTAAAGTGAGAGATTTTTTTCTTATGAGCCAGCCATAAGGTGGCCAGTTTAGGACAGAGTAGTTGGGTAAAGATATTTCAGTTCTACAAGTGAATATTGAATGACAAATAGAAATTAGATTGAAAGAGTATCTTATTAAGTTAGTTCCTAGGAACGAAAACAGAGAAATAGAAATGACCTTATATGGGTAAGAAGTTCAGGATTAATCTAGCCTGCTTCATTCAGGTAGAGGATTTGCAGTGACTAGTAAAACAAGATTGGTAATGTACAGTGACATCAAATGATTTAACATCTAGATTTTGGAATTATCTGCATCATCAATTGAAGCCATCAGAACATCCACCTGAGAAAGAACATAACTGATGCGAAGAATAGAGACAAGCCAGCCTAAAAGTACAGAGGAAAAAGTGACGGAATCAAAGCTAGGAAAGAAAGAAAATCAGGATAGGGTAGTAACCCAGAAATTGAGGAAGAAAATCTCAAGAAGAAGATATTTAATTGACGATATAGTTTGCAGAGATGGAGAAAAATGACAGCTGAGTAAAAGCATTGGGTTTTCCAAAAGTAGTTTAGTTGGATGTTTTGTCAAGTTGTAGCAATAGAAGCAGAATTGTCAGGGTACATGGCATCAAGTATAGATCATTCATTTTAGAAGTTTGACCAAAAAATAGCAGGTAAGATAGTCTCTAGAAAGAACTGTGGGATCAAACAGAGTAATTCTCTAGATGAAATAGATCGGAGTATCTATTTCATCAGAGAATGAAAAGCCATTGCTTCAAATTGCTTAATAGAAGATTTCTCCAGGTAAATATGCATTTGAAAGGAATGGTATTCTTTTTCTCAGTCTCTAAAATGAAGTCATTTGCAAAACAGAAAGGTGGTAGGTGGACATAATTGAAAGTATAACTGCTGGCAGTTACAGGGAGAAGACAAACTCATCTGACAAGAGTTGGGTTAGGGGTAGGAATTAAAGACTTGAAACATTCCCTTCTTTTAGCTAATGTGAGAGTGGTGGGTGTGGGTGTGGGTGTGGGTGGGTGGGTGGGTGTGTGTGTGTGTTCCTTCGTTCTAATCTCCCAAGCAAAGTGTTATTCACTCTTTTGTATTCTTACCATCCTTTCAGATGTCTGTAATAACAGTAAATGTTTAACAAAAGTGGGCTGAGGATCATATACTGCTCTATCTTAAAACCTCTGGTTTTCTCAGCTATTGATTCTTTCCTGAATAATTTTATCTACCACCATAATATTAATCTCCGTTGATATGCTAATGATTCCCAAATTATCTTACGTAAGTCAAAATATTGTGCTGTGCTTTTCCAGCTGTTTTACTTGTGTTTTTCATAGATTTAGTAGGTTTATAACATAAATTCTCATCACTTCAGATGTGTTTGTCTTTTCATCCTATGACTTAATCAGTGGTCCCACTGTACACCACAAATCTTTTGGTGAGTTTTAGCTTTCAGGAGAAAGTTCATACTCACATTACACACAGGCCCTTCATCATTTGACTCCTTTATACTTCTGTAACCTCATCATTTATTTGTCAGTCTCTCAAATAATCAATAATGATGAGTTTTTTAGACTTATTTCCTGTTTGTGCCATCCTTCCCATCTTCTTTATTTCCCTAAATTCCTTTATTTTAACCTCTTGCTTTAAACAAATTCTCCTTTAAACTCTAGATAGTGAAGTATTATTTCCTGAAATTCTTATTTGTTATAAATTCAAGATTTTATATATATTTTGTTTAAACCAAAATTTTGGTTTTTTAAACTTGAACTAGCAGTATGTCTGCTGTAAGATTTTGGTAACCAGTTAACCTGTTGCTGTTGTTGTAATATCAGGCAACACTTTTTTTTTTTTTTTTTTTTTAATTTTGGGCTCAGATCAAGTGTAGAAACCTGCATAGTTATAAAGGTCAGTAGTAAAACCTTTTTATCATTGCTCAGAACTAGTTAACCTTTCATGTGCACATATCCATCACCCCACCCCCAGTTGCATTCAGCCGTTATTAGCAAGTCTTCAGTTATCCACTGTTACCTTTATAAACAAACATACACACACATACACACTCAGATATAAGTCCTTATTGTTGTAAATTACTTGATATTTTTGCATCTCAGAACTACAGAGATCCTGCATCACATAGATTAGAAGGACTTCTAATGCTCAGATTTGGCTATCTTCAGGGCAACACTTATTGAATAATACGTTCTAAGCAGCGTTCTAGAAGTTGTAGAGAGTATGCACTTTTAACTCAATTTTACAAATCAGGCATTAAGCTCAAAGATGTTAATTAACTTGTGTAGGGTCATACATCATCTAGTAAATGATACAGCCAGACTTTGCAGTTCTAGTTCAAAAAAAAAAATAAATACTTCAATCCCTGTTATTTAAGGTAGAAAAGAAAACTCTGAACCATAGACTTCTTGCCTTTGAAGTACAATGTGATTCCTTTAATGCTTCCATACGGTATCTTTAGATATCTTCATGATGGTGTTTAATATAGTCTACTTTGTAATTTTTTGTTTATTTTTCTTATTTAGACATAGGAAAGCCCTTTCAGAATGCAAAAAGTCATGTAAGAGGGCTGGATATATGTACATATGTGTGTATGTATGTGTGTTCCCCTCTTACATGATTGAAGTACTTTTAAAAGACAATTTTAAACAAAAGATATTTTTTCCTTTTTCTTTCTGTCTTTCAGGGCATGTTTTAAGAAATTGCCTCGCATTCTGAGTTTCAATACTATGAGGTATACATTTAATATGGTCACGATGATGAAAGAAAAAGTGAACACACACTTTTCCTTCCCATTACGTTTGGATATGACACCCTATACAGAAGA